AGCTGCAGAATTGGCTTCTCAAGGGCTCAGCTCCATAAATAAGTACCGAATTCCACAAAAATTCGTTCTTTTCTGAAATTGAAATAAGGATGTAACTTAGGATGGAGATATTTGAACGAAAAATTAGAGTTTAGAGGTTAGCGATCGAAGTCATCAACGCTTAGGCAATATTGGTGTTGGTACTCTGGAACAATATCAGTTCAGCCTGCATGTCATTGTTGTATCCTACCTCGTCCTTTTGATAGATTTCAAACCGGTCCTGGTGTAATAAAGTTTACTTCCCACTGACGTATGTGAAACCGATTGCTGGAATGTGAAATCGCCCCTATGTCACACTATGAAAATACGTGTATACGAGAATCGTAGAAGTAACTCTTCAAGCATTTTAGCCCTCGGCTCTAGATCCTCTAGATAGAGATAAGCTTCACGTTCTGGCAGCCATTCTGCTAGTGAAGGAGCTCCCATTACTCATATGATACAGTCTAAGTGTGGACGACATTTGACTTGTATAGCGCCGCCAATTCACCTGTCTCTCATATATACATAAACATAGTTTTTTGTTTTGATGTTAAGTATAGCACTCGTTCAAAGGAATCGTCGGAGGCCTTCGTATTCACTTATTTTCAAATTCGATCTATCGATTTCCTGACTGATGAAGCTAGCTCTGCCATTTTCTTATTCATTCATGTCACTCAAACTTTGATTTACTCAATAGATAACATATACCTAGACTTATATTCGGGCCAAACGTTTATGTATTCAGTCCGATCGACAGACTGTGAATACATAGACGTTTGGTTAAAAATTTGCAACATGATGCTGAAATACGGAATTATATTCGGCAGGTGCTCGGGTCGAATCTTGGTCGGACACCAACCGCCCTGCTGAGTTTTCGTGGTTTCCCTTAGTTCCTCAACGCAAATTCTGGGGTATTACAACTGCAGTGCTTCCTTACAAATTCGTTCCAGTTCATGTCTTGTCTATCATTCAGCTATCCACCGCTATCTTCGACACTGAAAGCGTCTATCAATGCCTGCGGAAGAAAGGACAAAGGACGTTAAGAACGTCGGTCGAGTTTATGCAGACTTCATATTGATATTAAATGAGACAGAAATGTGTTTACTTTCACTCTCCTATTGTTTCTCACCCCGACTTCCACGAGAACATGAGGCTGCACAATGGGAAGTCACAGCAACACGAAAAGTCGATTGTCAGTTTCACTAGGTTATGGGAATATTTGCTTCAAGTTCAGTGTCTAAGTTTCCACGAAATGTGCTTGGGAACTTTTCTTGGTAGAAAGTAGAAAGAAGCAATATGTAGAGCAACAAGATGAAGAGTAATTTAGGCTTCGTAAATCCTTTCTCCTCCATTATCATAGGTATATTTCCCATGTATATTCAGGTGAGGAGTTCCTGTCGCATAGGTAATGCATAATTTCTCCTACCACTAACTTTCTACACACAAAGTAAATAGCTTAATTTTCATAGTTGCACAGAACAGGATTGCTAAGTTTTGGGGATGGTTTTGGAAAGCAATTCAAAATTTAAACACCATTGATGATACCTATTAAACAATTCGCGAAAATTGAATCCATGAAAGTAACAAACTGTTGGCTGTTTTAGTGCCCCAAAATTTCTGGTGGCCAATTTTATGGAAGTTCACTGAACAATGCATTTACTTGTATTTGCACATTTTGTTTATTTGATGGGAATGCTACTGATTTTATTTTTCCGTGTAATTTTACTCTTTTTCTAAATGCAGGTTCCGTATATAAACAGATAATAAATAAATAAATAAATAAATAAATAAGAATATATTTCCAAATTCATTCTTTAATGTTTTTCATACATTATCCGTCTTCATGTTCACTTATGGCAGATACGGCGTGAGTGGGTTTAGAGGCGGGTCGTCATGATGGTTTTATGCCCTTGTTCTTATCTATTGTTTCAAAGCTAATCGCGTCGCGCTGCAGAAATCGCAGTACACAAAATAAGAAATAACGTTCCCATTGCTGTATATCTTTAAGAAAAGATTTCGAGCACAATTTTAGATTTTTATCTTCATATAAATTGTCACAGAATCTTCATTGGAGTAAAGGGCGGCCAGCGCGTAAGGCTGACAACCTCACCGCCATCTGTGAGCCGATTTTCTAGAAAGTGTGGGAGCCTCGATGTCTCACAACCCTATGGGCATCCACTGCCTGTTACAGTGATATCTTTGTTTTTTACTACAATTTCAGTTAACGTGTTATTTTTAAGCCCGCGCGTGTTAAACTTAGCCTGTCACATTAGAGGAAAACATAGATTAAACGTTAAGATAAGTATAAATTTTCCATAAAATGCATTACATTTTTAATATTTAAATAGTTTTGCAGCCTAGCAAGGACCTATCATGGTCGAACACTGATTCCAGAATGTTATTATTCTTAAATTCTGCAAGACCTAAAATATTTTAAAAATATTCTAAATAAATTATGGAAAGTTTCCTTAATGATCATTGCCACCGTAGATGTTCAACCAAAACCGAAAAATGTTGGGCTGGAAAACTGTTTAATCATTGAACAGTGGAGGACTCTTGTAAACACTTTATCGAACCTTCGATTTCCATCAAAAGTGATAAGTTTATTGACTACCAGAACGATTGTTAACTTCACAATAAGGATTCTTCTCCATATAGTTAATTGGTTAGTTAATGAATTATAATCTAAAAGGGTTTAATTTGCATCTGGGACGCTACAAACAATAATTTTTAGTAAAATCTCTCACTCGGAAAGACGTGTAAAGAGTGATAGCCCTAAATCTAAAGCCATAAGCTTATGTCCAGGAAGTGCTCTGCGTGAATCTAGTCAGTTTAACTTGTATCCTGAATTAGAATGTTCGTAGTTCTGCCCACTCTCTACAGATGTCTTGAAGTAAGCCGTGATCACCATCTTCCAAATCCTCACCTTCTCACTATTTACGTAGGTATATCTTTCCATTTCATCGGACACTACATAAACTCTACTGTTAGATAAAAGGCCGCCAAATAATAAAAGAACCAATACTTTGCCTACGGTTTGGCATAATCTATATTTTTTTTTTTGGTCGGTACAATGACTTCACTAAAAACTCGTTGGAGCCTTTTACGTTTGTGAAATTTCACACGGGACGAATATTGCTCGTATAAATAAGAATGGAAAATGTTCTCTGATTATGAGTACAGTTAATTTCAACGTTTTCAAAAAGAATTTGCGTACCTCGGTGGTAAAAGTAAAAAGGTAAAGTTGTCCCTGTGCTCAAATAATTAAGCACTACACCATGAAGACATAAGGGGGGAATGTATGTATAGATCCACATTTTCTTGACCTCGGCACTAGTTGGAGGTTAGTGGTCAGCTTCACGCCCCGGCCGCTTTGGCCCCGGGGAAAGAGTCCCCGGTACCCATTGGATAGCAAGTTGGGTGGACCCCAGAGCCGGTCTGGACGACATGGAGAAGTGAAAAGTCTTGACTCCACCGGGACCCGAACTCCGACCCTACGGTCGTCCAGCCAATAACCAGTCGCTATACCGACTGCGCTATCCCATTGATTACATTTATAAGAGTCTTAAAGCTAAACAACAGTAGGCCTGCAGATATGTCATTGCGAATAATAAATTCTTTTGTTTACAGAACGATTGGACAGTAGGCATACAGTTTTTAACGTGTAGTATTTTCACACATGGCTTATAGTTTGGTATTTCAATTTCGTGCAAATTTAGGACACTTGCGCCGAAACAAACCAAAATTAAAACTTTCCGCTTATTTTCTTTCCTCTCCCCGTGACAAAATGTCGTCACAATGCACTGATTAGTTTTGTAATTTCTGCGTTAATAAAGTACGAGTAAAAGTAATTATGTTCAGAATTGTAAGATTTGAGGCTTTCACGGCGGTGAAGACTGCTTTCTTCATGTTCAGAATTGTATCTGAATTTCCTTAAAAACTTACTTTTTGCATCTAGTTCTAGATAGAATTGTAACATGAATCGATGTTTGGGTAAGTATTTCTGTATACAATAAATTGATCCATGTTTCATGTCAGCAATACTGAGACTCTCAAATTGATTTATTTTGCCTATTTTCATTCTGTAATGAAGTACGGAATAATTTTTTGGGGTAACTCATCTTACAGCCAGAAGATATTCATCTTACAAAAGAAAATTGTTAGAATAATGGCTGGTGTTAAACCAAGAGAATCATGTAAAAATATCTTCAAGAGGCTAGAGATCTTAACTCTCCCATGTGAATACATATTCTCCTTAATGATCTTCATTGTAAAAAACCAAGAATTTTTTCCAACCAATTCTACAATACACAATGTCAACACAAGGAATAAAAATCAGCTTCACAGACCAGTTGCCAGCCTCTCTTGTTTCCAGAAGAGTGCATATTATACTGGCATTAAAATCTTCAACAATCTACCACCAAATATCACAACTCTTATAGATAAACAGGGACAATTTAAAGTAGCACTAAAGAGATACTTAATTACACACTCCTTTTACTCTGTTGAGGAATTTATGCTTCCAAACAACATAAAGTGTATGTAATGTTTTCTCTTGTTTGGAACACAGGGAAAAAAAAAATCTAGTATATGTTAATGTATGGATTTATGATGGATATTTTACTACTTTTGTGAAATCCTTACTATTTATGTGAAATTGAATTGTGCATGTATATATGTATTGTATGATTTTTGACAAATTCCACATCCGGTAGGTCATCTGACTAACTCATGGATCTATGGAATGCTATGTATGTATGTAGGTATGTATGTATGTATGTATGTATGTATGTATGTATGTATGTATGTATGTATGTATGTATGTATGTATGTAAAGTTTAACACATATCAGAGGCTGTGCATGCTGCCAAAATTGAATAGATAAAGTAATTGCAATGTTTCAGACATTTGTACGCCCCTCTTCTGTGACGTAATTTCTTCTATCTCTGTTCTACGCCAGATGTCGTTGCAGTTTTAAAATGGCTGGCGTGTTTGGTGGATGGTGAAAGTTCTGGCCGTTCTGGCCGCATAGTCATTGGTTTGGACTTGGTTAAAGCGGTTGTTTGTGTAACATGAGCGAGTGATTGTAAATGTTGGTATGAAGTCGTATTTCGTGTGCAGACACATGCTTGTTAATCTGCTGCAACTGCAATTGTATGTGGGTGACATTCAGAGGACCGTGACTGTCCCCCAAAATTAAATTTCTAGTGCCAACGTTTCTATACTTGTGTCAAGATTTCGGGATTACATTTTGGTATTGCCCGGTTATTCCATTTATATAGTTGTTACATTTTTTGCTCATAATATTTGGCCTGACTGTTTAATTATCTATGTTAGAAAATATTCTTACGTCAACGTATACCACGAAATTTAAGACAATTTGTTCCTTAGTGGACCAGTAATCAGTGTGTGACCTGTTATGTTCGAGATTTCATGAAACGCAGGTGAACCAGCTAACAGGCGAATAATGTTCACTTTAGAAACTTGGCCTGCCATTAAAACGTGTAGGTCTACCTCATCTTTAAATATCATGTTGAAAATATATCAGTCTGTGACATAAAAATTTCAGTTTGCGAACAGACGACCAAGGAAATAAACATGTTTGGAAAAGAAAGTGGTCATGGAAGTGATAGTGGATACTGTGAAAATCAGTGTAGTGATAACAGTGGTAAACAGCATCGACTATGCAGTGGAGATTTAATAACACCAGTTCCATCTCCCATACCACAACCTATGATGGATGGGCCCTCGCCAGTAGCAAAACATTCTCGCATGACAGGGTCTTCTTGTCAGGCATTACGGCATGCTGTTGCTGCCCTTAATAGACTTGATGATTTCACATGTGAGAAGATTGGTTCAGGGTTCTTCTCTGAAGTATTCAAAGTAAGTAGTGTACCATCCTTCATATGGACAGAGATTACGATTATTTTTTATTACTGGGTTTCTGAACTTAGTTGAATATTTGAAAGAACACAGTGTTTCAGAATCTGGATCTATTGCCTTATGTCTGTTAACAAGGGTCTTTTTAGCAGATCCAGCTTAGTAGTTGTCCCTCCTACCCTACTCCATCTCAGAATGGAAGTAGACCCAGTTCCTGACATGTTATGTTCTTTTGAATACTAGATGATGGGCAAAGTCCAAAACTCAGTGAACCCAAGTATGATATCATCAGAAGCCATTAGAATTACCCAAGTTGATTGCTTCACCACATACTTGCTGTTAGTAGCACATTACTTACTTACTTACTTACTTACAGAGCTGAGCCCTTCCTGAGGAGAAGTAAAATCTGCAGCTACTCAAGAATTTCCCAACATTTTATGGTACCCGAAGGTTCATTACCGTGTTCACAAGAGCCCCTCCACTGGTCCCTATCCTGAGCCAGATCAATCCATCCCATCCCAGTCTCTCTCTTTTAAGATCCATTTTAATATTGTCCACCCACCTATGCCTTAGTCTTCCCAGTGGTCTCTTTCCTGCTGGCTTTCCTACCAATATCCTATATGCATTCCTCTTCTCCCCCATCTGTTAGTAGTACATTATTTATTTATAATATTTTGCAACTTCTTTTCTAAACGCAAAATCTGCTGTTTGTGTTTGCCATCCATTGGTTTTCTAAATTTTGATATTATATACATGTGCTCAACGTAGGAGTTTGTACATAATAAAAGATTTTGTTCTAATGTAAGCTGTGACATCACTGAGTGTCAGGATTTTTTGCACACAAGTTTTCTTCCTGTCTGTCTCAGAAGGGATTGCTGCATTTAAATTTTGTATGGGAACAGTATCACATTACAGGGTGCCGGGGAGAATATTTGGACCAAAGAGAGATGAAGTGACAGGAGGTTTGAGAAAACTGCATAGTGAGGAGCTTCATAACTTGTACTCTTCTCCAAATATAATTAGAATGTTCAAGTCAAGGAGGATGAGGTGAGCAGGGCATAAGGGAGAAGAGGAATGTATATAGGATATTGGTGGGAAAGCCAGAAGGAAAGAGACCACTGGGAAGACCAAGGCATAGGTGGGTGGACAATATTAAAATGGATCTTAGAGAGACAGGATGGGATGGTATGGATTGGATTGATGTGGCTCAGGATAGGGACAGTTGGAGGGCTCTTGTAAACATGGTAAAGCACTTCCAGGTCCCATAAAATGCTGGGAAATTCTTGAATAGCTGCACTGTTGGCAGTTTCTCAAGAAGGGCTCAGGTCCATGAGTGAGTGAGAGTGACAATATCACATTTTGCAAAGAATCCTGCAAAATGATATGATAGTGTGTTGATAGCACCTTAAACATTTTCTGGGAATGTATGTCACTGCTGCTACACATGCAGTGTTTTTTGGTGTATCATATTGGTGAACATGACCCCTGTATTTCAGGTGTTATTACTATTCTGTTTATTGCAAACATTTTTGAAGTTTTCCCAAAATTTATGCTGAACTCTAATATTGACAGCAGTCTAGTGAAATATTTTCACTGAAAAGTTTAGCTTTTCTGTTGCCATTTTGTTCATCACAGCATCCAGTGCACGTGATCACATCACACAGTCACATTTGTTATGTAAATGTTAGTAAGCAAATACAGTTGAAACTGTTGTACCTTTCTAGTAAGTAAGATAACTGAAGTAACAGGGAAGAAAGGCTGATATGAATGTCACCTGTCATATGCTGAAATGCATTATCTGAAATTAGTACATACTTGTATTTTATATACAGCATACTTGGGAGGCCTAGGCATAGAATGGAGAATGATGTGAAATTGGATCTTAGAGCAGCCTGTGATGGTATGAAATGAACAGAAGTAACTAAAGGCGCCATGCTTTGGTGGTGATGAACCTTCATATTTCATGAGTGTAGATGTGCTTTCTTTATAAACTAAATAACTGTTAACTGTTGAAGAGAAACCATATTGTAAGCCTGTAATTAATTTGAGGTAATTGTTTTGTTGTTGAGCTAAGATTTTATTTTTCCATATAATATTTTATTTATTATATTTACTTTTAACAGTCAGTTGTTATTGAGATGCTGGCAGAGGGAAATGTAGGCTGTGCGAATGATTCTGAAATACTGCTTTGTAGGAAGTATTAGTGCCTTCATTATAATCCACCATCGAAGACAACTGAATTTGTATGATTGTTATAGCCTTAGGGTGTTTTATAGGAATTGATTTTAATGAGGAAATTTGATTCAAAATAATGCTGAAAGTTGGAGGAGGAGTTGGGAGGGTAAAAATAGCATAAGTGCTATGCTGACATGCCAGTGTGTCAGGTATATAATCTCAATACTGACAGCATCATTAAATAACTAGCATGGAAGTGAAATGCTTTGGAGGGTCCTGCCTCTATCCTAAGGTTGAGGATTGAGGCAGGAAAGTGGAGTGCTTATTGCTAGTTTGTTGGTTACTTAGGTTACTCGTCAGCCCTGAAGATGGAGGCAGTACTTTTCTTCGAAACATTGGTATTCTACCAGGCTACACAGCGTCATGCCCCAGCAGATAGTACTCTTTATCGTCACTGCTGTGGGAACCTCAAATGTAACAAAATCCTGATGGATCTTAGGACTTTTGTGTTATGACACCGTGTAGTTTAGTAGGTGGAGGAACATCACTGTCTCCATTGTCGGGGTAGAACCTGAAGACGGACACACTATGTTGCAGACTATGTCACCCATAAGACCACAGTATGGACGTAATAATGAAGTGTTCCTTGACAGTTGTGTGCCATACAGTCAGTATTTTTCCAATGATCTTTATTGTAATTGAACTTTGTGTGTAGGCTCGGTTAAGAGGAATATCACAATGTGTGCAGTTAATCAGGTGTAAGTATTGACCAGACTCCAGAAAATGAAACACTTAATTGCTGACATGTATTTTGTTTGAGGTGAAGATTTTCTCTGAAGCAGGATTTTAGACACATTTTAAAACAAACAAGAATGCAGGGATTTTAAAGAGCATTTAGTAGATACTCATAAAGGTAAAGGTAAAAAGGTAAAGTTTTCCCTGTACTTAACTAATTAAGCACTACACCATAAAGGCGTAGGGGGAAGTGGATGTATAAATCCACATCTTGTCACTGGCTGGAGGTGAGTGGTCAGCTTCACACCCCTGCCATTTTACCCCCTGGGAGAGAGAGCCCCTGGTACCCATTGGATAGGAGGCTGGGCGGGCCCCAGAGCTAGTCTGTACGATATGGAAAAGATAATATTCTGACTACCGGGACTCAAACTCTGACCCCTCTGTCGTGCAGCCTATAGGCAGTTGCTATACCGACTGTGCTACTCTGGCTCACCAGTAGATATTCATAAAGTAAGAAATGTGGTGGGTGGAAAGTGGTAGTTCTCATGTTAGGTAATTATTGATATCACAAGTTAAGAATTAAGTTGTGATCTGTTTTGCTGAAGACACTCTGAAGGTTGTATCTGATTCTGAGGTTTGAGGTTCTCTTTTGGGATCTGACACAGTGTAGTCTCATGAATGGCTGCTATCGTTTTGGAGGAATCTGCTACCTCCATCTTCATTCAGAAAACATCATTATGTCCCAGGGGACTATAATCATATTTACCAAATTCTAGATTGTTATTCCTGGTGAATATAAACATACATGATGAGCAACTGCATGGGTCGTTATCCTTGATGCAAGAGACTGTACTGCTGTGTTTTTAGCGTCACATTAGTATTCCTAAATGCCAATGCATGCCTGTACTATGCAGAAAATATTTTCATAGCATATTTTAATATTTAACATATATTATTATCTGATACTGCTTGTAATAACTAATAATACTGAGGTGTGTGTTTGACTGAAGGTTGTTGAGGCAATGTCATGGGTGGATTTGTATAATGTTAGTTGTAGTCATTGGCTTATGCATGCTTTTGTGTTATGGCTATTTCAAAATGAGTGTTTGTTTTATCTGCTTCTTGTTCCTCCATCAGCAAACTTGTTTTTTTTTTGTATGAATAAATGTAGAAGTTTTCTTTAATGTTTGTGATTTTTCCTTTCTTTCTCCTGCAGTCTATTATATCTATAATGTCTTCCATTTTTCTATATTGTTGTCTGTCGTTTATGATATTCATAGCAGAGGCAATATCTTCATTATTGGTTCTGATACATATGTGTCCAGTAATCAGATTTTTAAGGCTCTTCCTTAGTACCCAATGTAAGGTTTTTTACAATCTGGACATGTTAGTTTGTATTTATTTGTTTTTGGAGTTTTATTGAGTATGTTTTTAATCATGTTTGTTTTAAATGCTATCTGGCTGGCAGTATGTTTGAATACTTTTCTAATTGTGCATATGTAATTTTCTGTTTATGTAAATATGATCCATTTTTGTTTTGGATTTGTGTATTTTTCCCTTTTCTCTTGCATAGTTTGTAGAGAGTTGTATCCATTGTTTTGAGCTCCTGTGATGATAATTTTAAGTTCTTTTAATTTGTTAGTTTAATTAGAATATATAACATAAATCTTTTTACTGATATTTAAACAACAGTTTTAACCTGTTTTATAGTTTACAACTGTAACTTATATGAAGATGTACAGCATTTGTAAAGCAAGTGGCTTTTACTGTTGTCACATGTTAAAATATGTCATCTAACCTGTGACTTCATGTACTTAACTGATGATGATTTATTGTAGATAAAGTCTGCTATTGTACACACGAGTATTACGTAAGAGCTAGTGAACAGTTGAGATACTGCATTTAATAAAACTTTAAACTGTATGATTGACAAATCTAGTAGACAATATTTGACTGCCTAGGTGCAGATCATCATCCTTGTATTTTGTGAACTTTGTACTAAGAATACATAAAATGTGTACAGTGCTATCTATTTTGTAAGTGCAAATACTCTTTAAAAACATCACCCATGCTGGATATTTGACATAATCTGT